CTGCCCGCTAACAGTCCCTGCAACTTCCCTGCGGCCCCTCATAGCCCCTGCCGCCTCTCCCACAGCAGACTGCAACCCCACCCTGGCTTCCCCAATGCATCCTATCTGCATATTACTGCAGCCTTGCTGCTCTACCTCCTCGCTGACAGCCCCTGCAGCTTCCTTGCAGGCCCTCGCATTTCATGTCGCCTCCCCCACAACTAGCCGCAGCCCTTCTACGCCGCCATCCGTGTCTGCAGTCCGGCCTTCACCGCAGCAGCCAATTCCACCTCCGACGACGTTCTTTCTTCTCTCCAACTGTGTTTCGACGTCATTACTATCACTACCCTGTTATCCTACGTCTTCCAGAGCATCCCCCACCTCTTCGGCGATCACCATAGCCCCCAACCTCCGACAATATTACTGCTTCTTTCCAGCTGTGGTTCGATGTCATTGCTATTGCTTATATGTTGTCCTACTTCTTCTACAGCAGCTCAACGTCTCTCCGGCCTTCATCGTAGTCACTGCTCCAAGCCCCATCTCTCTGAACTCCCTCCTAATCGAACTTTTGTGTCTTTATTTGTTGAATCTTTGTTGTAATGTTTTGTTTTGTGTTTTGATTTATGTGAAGTTTTTGCTTTTCTTTGGAGTTGTCATTGTAACAATTCTTTTAAGTTATTAATAAATTTGTGTCATGCGTCGTGGTTTATATTAACTTTCGTATCCATGAGTCTTTATGGTATCAAGTACTAATATGTTGAAAAAATGTTTATGACAAGTATGAGTTATTGACTTTAAAAGTACAAAAAATAAAATTAATCGCCTACACTTATTTCAATCAAATTAAGATTAAATGATTAGTCACTAATGAAAATACAAGTAATTTGATTTAACTCATGAAAATTTTATTATTTAAATTTGTTATGCATGATTTATATTGGTCTATTTTAATATAGAAACTCTTAATTTGATATATGAACTACCTCAAATCATTTCTTACTTTGGAACACAATAGCGTGTTAAAATCTAATGTATGAAAACCTATCATTGCAGGTTATATTTATTAATTTGGCGTGGCATGATAGAGTCTTGACTTGTTCAACATAATTTTTAACTTGATTTGGACTACCAATTCTATTTTGTTTAGTGATGAAGAGATCGCCTGACTCATAGGCATAGAGGCTTCAACATGTTCGCTATCAATAGCAAGCAACATGACCATTTCAAAATTTTGAGTAATCTACATAAATGCTATCATGCATACAGATATACAATCTTAGTCCAAGTAGGTTGTTAATAGGACAATCTATTATTAATTCGTAGTACCATATTAATGTGTAATGGCATTCAATTAATTTGATTTAATTTATAATATTATATAAATATATTTGATCAGAAACATATAGTCTACACAATTGATATTAGTAAACTCTAATTATATATCATATTTGTTTCAACACATGTAATGCCCTTATTATCATTACTGTGCCCATTCCATTAATATTATGGCTTATAATATAAGGTTTCTAATATTTAATTTTTAGTCTCATAATTGTTACATTATGATTAACCTATCTCCAAGTTGGAAAGACTTTTCCTTTATACGTCGTTATCTTTTATAATAGTGATTGTTTTAAGCAGACATCAAAGTTAACAGAAATATACCTGCATGAATAAGTTTGACAGGTATCTGTGATTGGTTATATTGTGTTATGACTTCACTGTGATTTAAACAATTTCCTATTGATACATTTTTAGTTATCAGCATCCATGTATATGGTTTAGTAATTTTTTAGAAACGTGATAATAAATAAACTTTATCATGTGTTCGGATGGACAATGAAGTTAGCAGCTCTAATGGCATTGATTCTTGAGATAAAGTTATAATGCATACATTGTATTATAGTCCTAATGAATAAATTGTGTAGAAGGCAATGTTTTTAGTAGGCATAAATGTATATTAGAATGATAGGATTGCATATAACTATAATGGAAAATTTACAAACATAGCACACAATTCTTATGTATTTACATATCTCACAACTATATTTTCATATATACATACATAGCATTTTGATGCTTTAAACCTGTGCATGAAAAGGTGCATTCATTTTTTTAGAAGTGGTAACAATGCTATTTCTTATGTTATATTAAAGATTTGAGTGCTATGTATGTAAATATGTAAGTCTAATAGATGTGAGATATGTAAATATAAAAGAATTGTGTTATATATGTAAATGCCCCAAATATAAATGCAAAAGTACACCCTGTATTTAATTAAACTACCAAAATTTAAACGACTTATGACTATATTTTATCCAACCAGCATTTCATTTTTCTCAATCCTGAATCAATTTTGTCCGATCATAATGCCTTTGCTAATTAAAGGCCTCCAAAAATGAGGAACAATTTTAACATTGGCACAGAATGATTTCTTATTTTGAGTCTATTTGTCAAGTTTTACATCTATCATTCAACCAGAATATCCACTTAGCTCAAGCCCAACATAAAATTATAAACAATCAATTTTGGTTTGTCAACAAGGATCGTCATTATCATCAACCATATGCTATCAGTGGAAATGAACAAGATGTGTTGTATCATTTCTAGGTGGTCAATCAGAACAATAAGGACTGCCCTTAAGATAAGCATCAAGAACATAACATGTGTGCTTTTGGTCAAAAATATAAAGAACAAATTGAAACACAGTAGAAAATTCTAGGTGATTGGAAAATTCATTGACCCATTTATTTGGGTTATCAATAGAAATAAATATGAGAACAATAAAAGATCAAATTCTATGAATAAAAATGTAAACTAATTGTAATAACGGGAAGTTGGCCTACCAAAGATATTCCTTCAACATTTTTATTCTTAATCTTCATTCTCATCATATAATCAATTTCATTGTGAGAATAAAAAACAACTTGGGTAGAATAGCAGTCTCATGCATACTCATTTATTTCTATAATGATAGACCAACAAATGTTTTATTAAATAAACACAATATGTTATGTCACTTCAATACTTTTTAAGTTATGCATTCAATTGACACGCAAAAGCATAAACTCATCTATCAATTATTTCCAAGTACATGAATTAGCACACTGATAAAATTGATGAAAGCAAGAAATTTATGCCAACCACACAAGAATTTCAAATGCAATGTTATGATGCTAGTATACTAATATCATTAGCAATTTGTTTGCAAAATTAGAAGAATCAGCACTAGTTCTGCTTTACAAAAAAAAAACATTTTATGCCAAAATATATTTCATAATATGCTTGAATCATTTTTAAAAACTTGAATGAATAATTTTAGATTTGGACTTAGATTAAATTTTACGATTAAATAGAAAAAATAGCATGCAATCGAAATAGGTTTCCAAGTAGAATTTCAAGATATCTTTAGCAAATTTCTTTCTAAATATTTTTTTCTTAGTTCAATGGAGATATAAACTTATCGCAATATAAAATTTAGAATCTGTTTGGAGTGGCTACATGTTTCTAAAAATTGTGGTGGAAAAAAAAAACTTTTTAGAAAGCTGCGGTGAAAATTATAAATATATATTTTTTTCCAAGAAATCAGACAACAATTTCCTTATAGACACTGTACTTTAACTAGTCAAATTGAAAAAAACAACTTTCAACCACAAAAATGTCCAAAAAATAGCGAAAAAATAGCTCCCCAAACAGAATTTTGATGGCAGTCTGAAACGCAAAGCAGACAGAAATTTGTGTCACACCTTAAATTCCATAAACAATTAGTGTTTCATATGCAAGGTTTACTCGAAATTTTTTTATATCATCTTTCTCTCCACCAGAGCAGTCTAATCCTATGATGTGTCGTCATATCTCCCAATCAATTTTAAACCTTGATGATGCTTTTCAAAATTTTTAGATTTCAATGCTTTAGGCTATGTTTAAGTGTCATTTACCCTCTAAATTTTTAAAAGGAAAGGCACTAAGGCGGAGGGCATGTGTTTTGTGTTTTGTGTTTTGTGGTTTGTTGCTTGTGATTGTGCTCCTGTTAAAAATTTCATGTGGAATATAATCCTATTTGGAGTACATAAGGAGTAGGCAATTAAATGGGAAATGAAGATTGATCTGGCTTAGGCTTAACTTAATTTGACATTAATAGCAAATGTGAGGGCCTTAAGAAATAGTTGTCCTTGAATTTTTTTTCTTTTACATTCTATTGAATTTTGCTCCATTTCTCCTTTTTGATGTAAGAGGAGGCTAAACAGACAGGAGATGTAGAGAGAGAGGATGAGACATACTTACATTTTTCAAGAAACCAAAAGAAAGGCTTGAGAATTTATATGTCTATAGTAGAGAAAAAAAGATTTGAATTGTAAAATTTCATATGTTCCCATCGAAATATAATAGAGACAAAATATATAAGAAAATGAGGGAAAGGTAATCAAGGGGATTTGAGAATGGCTAATTTTAATTAAAGATTATAAAATAAAGAGAAATTCACATACATATGATACATTACTTGTGTATTTATTTATCTAACAGCTAAATTTTGATATTTATACTTAACACTTTGGTGCATAAACCTCTACATCAAAAGGTATTCTTCACATTTAAGAGATTAACAAATGTAATATTTTTTTATGTGAAATTTAAGATTTGACTTCTATGCATGTAAATATAAAAGTTTAGGTTTTAGAACTGAAAATACATATGAATTATGCGTTGGGTATCCTAACTCTATCATATTAATAAAAATTATAATTCTAAATTCAAAACTAAAACTTATCATCTAATTTAAATTCAACAAAAAAAAAAAAAAGATAACGATGGCAAGAAAAATTCCTTCATAATTTAAAGATAATTTGATTCAAAAAATAAAACAAATATGAATTTATGACCTAGTTTGATACCAGGTCAATCTAGACTATGGTATTGTGATAAATCTATGAATGGATGTATTAAATCAAATCCTCTTAGAACTTCAAACATAAATAATAAAGCTTAATGATTAATAGCCATATGACAAATTTAAGACTTACAAGATTTTTTCCCTCCTCCATAAGTGATTTCTCCATCTGACCAAAAAGATTTTTCCATCGAGCCATATGCATGTCTAAGGTTTCCTTTCTAGGGCAATCAAGCAAAGAGGAATGTAGCATGGACTCATTCTCTGAGTGAGGTGCAAGATCTCTTGTTAACAAGAATGCCAGCTCAATCTGGATTGCATTTTTAACTCTCTTTTTGCTGCGTCTTAGTGCTGCATCCGTAGACAAAATTAGGAATCCTTATTAACAAAACTTGAAAATGTTTAAAATGTCTAATCAAACAGTCTCTTACCAGCTAACCGGCCTTTAATATCTTGCTGAATCAGCCCCAACCATTGTGAAGCAACACCAGCCGCTATAAAGAGGGGATCAAAAAAAGATGCCACAGAGGTTCAACTCGCATTATATTCTAATGTGTTGATGTATCATTCATAATTAAAATTTTCAAAACATCAAGAAACATATTTAATTTCCTAACTTTCAAATTTCTATATTTCTATAGATACATAAAAAATAATATATATATATATAGGACGCACAATTATGCAGAAATAATTAGGGAAAACATAGACAAAGAAGTGCATTACCTTTAAATGAAAGAGAGGTTGTGTTTTCTTGATTTAATGAGAAATCAATGATTGCTGCACCGCTCGCATGTTCTGTTGATATTATACCTGATGATAGTTTCAGTGTGAGAGCATCATCATCAAATTCTGAGTTATAAACTGATGTATTGCTGCTATCATTGTTGAATTTGTAATCAGGCATATCTGATTCGCTGCTTTGTATTCTAGACCCAAAACAAGCAGGATTAAATGCTTCATTTAGTGATAGATCAAGTTGATCAGATACTAAAGCATTCCTACGTTCATTTGAACCAACATTGGCTCCCCTTCTTCCACTCCTGGATTGTTCAAGGGGCTTATGCTGTAGCTCTTGGTTCTCAACCTTCTCGCTTTGTAACATTGCTTCAATAATTGAGTTCACCTGCTTGCTATTCCTTACATGCTTGATGATACCAGGGTTAAGCCCAGAAAGCAAGCCACTCGGGGCACCAACATTTATGCCCTTGTTGGCCAATTCTGCCTTAGTCGTGTTACTCCTTTTCTTCATCTCTTCGATTTTTTTCTTCTTAGGCTGGCGGTGCCGGGGTTTTGAGCTGGGAACAGTTTCTGCCAAGGAAACAAAGCCATTTTGTTTCATCTCATTCCATCTTCTCATTGATTCATTGTTCTCCATTGGACCAGTGGTGCTACCACATTCTGAAGGATCTGTAGCTCTCACCTGCCCAAGCTTCTTATAAGGATAAAAGGGATTGTTCAGATCCACCCCAAGTCTCGGCAAATCAGCTGCATGAGGATCACTCTTCAGTTCACGTTTTTCCAGCAAGGAAGCTCTACAGATCTCTCTCACGTTTTCCGCTTCAAGCTCACATGTAACCATGGATGACTGCAAACTGCAAACTGCATCAGTTTCAAGAGAATGATTGTTCATTGGTATGTCTGCTGGATTGTTGGAAAGCCTCAAATCAGTTCCCTTGGTGATTTGAGAGGCATTCTCATCTTCAATAGAAGTTTCAAGTTTTTCAGTTTTCTTTTCATTTGGTTTTGTTGAACATGACCTGATTCCTGGAGTGCAGAACCAGAAAATTAAATATTCATCATCAAATAACATCAAATGTATGTCAGAACAAAAAAAAGGGAAAATGAACTATTTCATACTTATGAATTATCACGGCAATCAAGCAGAAAAAAGGCATTACCAAATAAAATTGCTCATCTTTTTACTAATCTGGTTCTCTTTTTTGTAAATAAAGTCAGCAATACAGCATGCGGATAATTCTAAAATTCTGAAAAAAGAATAAGATGAAATAACTACCGGATCTTATATTTTAGATCATTTTTTGTTTGTGTCTTATTAATGAGATAACGTGGCATGCACTTCAAAAGGAGGATGTAGGTTAAATAAATGCAATAGTATATTTCTTATAGAGATATGAAAGCTTAGTATATTCAAGGTTTCTTATAGAGATATGAAAGACCAGCATGCATATTGAATTCTTCTCCTTGGATTACTGTAATTTAGAAGTGTAATTGCTCCTGGATTATCTTTAGATAACTAATTATGTTCCTTCAATATTTTTTATCAGATTTAAGATTTTGATTAAGATAAATAGAATAAGAGATAATGTATACAAGAACAACAACCAGAAACGTTAACTTTTCTACTTGTTAATTTAATTATTTTCTTTAGTGACTCTTTTATGAATTTATTTGAAAAATAAACTGTTAGTAATAGAAATAGAATAACAAAAAAAAATTTCGCCATCTGACTGTCTGTTCTCGTCTTGGTTACAAGCCCCATGCCTGATCGTGACAAAAAAATAATTAAGGTTGAAGATTTGAACCTAATATTTGAGATACGGAATCTGTGAAACAAACAAGTAGGATATGGTGAGTAATTACATTATAAATTTCAGTAATTAGTTTTATTTTAAAATATTGGTATGATTTTATTGATGTTTCATTTATGTTTAATTTCAATGAGATTTAAATTAAAGCAGATTCTTCATATTGGCAGATAGAAAACTATACATATAAAATAGATACACAGTGAATTTCACATAAGGTAATTAAATCATTGAATGACAATAAATTAGAATAGATGTGCATATATATTAAGTTATTATATGGACTGTAGTTTCAAGTAGAAATCTTATAGTATATCAATACATGACTTTTAGAAAATAATCATATACAACCAGTTGCATAATGATTTATCTATGAAATTATTAGAACAATATGTGTCATGTTGATGCTAGTAAACGTGCACTTAATCATTAGTAGATACATGTAAAGAGTTTGATAAGAAGAGAACACATGATATGAAAAAATAAAATACATATATGAATGCTTGTATGTACATGTAAAGAGGAGTTCACCCTCTAATGATACAGTCAGAGGATGATAGTGTATAGTGTACCAGCGTGCATAGATGTTTTTCTACAACCCCAGATAATTTTGATGTTAGATCACTACCCACTGTGCCAACCGAAAATTTCGGTTAGAGATGAGTAAATAGAGCTTACCACACCAGACAACTGTGATATTTAGATCGTTAACAGATGTATTGACGGGAGAATATCAGCAAGTGATAGGTAAGAGTAATTCCACCTCAGACAATTTTGATGACCGCTGTGCCGACAGGATAATATTGGCCAGAGATGTGTTAGATTATGTTTTAACAGTGCTCCTAAGAAAGATGTTAATGTTAATAGTATAAAATAAAAGTAAAGTTAAAATTACAGTAAAAATAAATGCATATGAAAGTTTAGAGTATTTTCATTTTGAAAAGATCATTGAAACATGTAATATTATATTCAAAAATTTTTTATAAAGATATGAAAGATTAACAATTCAAAATTTATTAAAGAGATATGAAAGATCAGCATGCATATTGAATTATTTATCTTAGATTACTGTAGTTTACAAGTGTTATTGCTCATGGATTATCTTTAAATAACTCATTATGTTGTTTTAACATTTTTTTCAGATACAAGCTTTTGATTAAGATGAATAGAAGAGGACATAGTGTGTATAGAAGGCAACAAACAACATCCATAAAGATACATATTTCTACTTGTTAATTTAAATGTTTTCTTTAGTGGATCTTTCATGAATTTTTTAAATGTTAAACTGTTAGTAATAGAAATAGAATAGTAAAAAAAATTTTCATCGTCCGATTATTTGTTCTCGTCTTGGTTAATTACAAGCCTCGAGTCGAGTCGTGACAATACAACTGGTGTTTTTGCATGCCAATAAGTGTGGAGAGGCAAGTTTCGAGAGGATTAATCCGTAAATAGGATTTCAAAGTATTGTTTAAGTCGCCCCTTGCAAGAAACTTCCAAGAAAAATTTTGTTTTATTTTAGTCATTTATAGAGTGAATGATGCTTATTCTAGTGAAAATAAGCTTTCTTTAATTATTCAAACGTCTAAACACTTTTTTAGAAATCAGAGGCGATGTGATTGAAATATGAACGTTTATATTCATCAAAAGTGCATAATGCAGCATTCAGATGGAAACAGTGACAATCTAATATTTTGCCTAAATTTAAATATCATTTTTTTAGTTAGATGCCTATGTCAAGGGTGAATATGACAATGTGATATGTCAATTAGTGGTTTGAGAGTTTTGGTAAGTTTTGTTTGCGACTGCAAGTTATTTTTCATTTAGCCCTAAACTACAAGTTATTTTTGATTTAGCTCTCAAATTCCCACAATCACTTATTTCCAAGGCCTTATTCAAACCAACTGTGCATTTCATAGTGCCTTTCTTTTTTTTTTTTTTTATGGTTCCTGATTTCTACATTGTAGCTTGGAGCAGCATCTAATGCCTATGGTTGGTGATACTAAAGCAAGGATATAGTCCTTTTTGGGCGTTGTAAAAAAAGTGTTTTGGGTTTCTTACTGTTCTCAGAATCTCATTGGGATTGATTCAAATTTATCGTCTTGTGATTTTCGAAGTAACTAACATGGCATGTGGGATGGTTTCCTTTTGGTAACTATACTATTTTAGCAATTAATGGATGTTTGTTTCCTAATCCTAAAGAACCAACTGTGTGTAATGAATTTGTGAAGTGGATGTATGTGATTTGGGATGAAAATCCGAGATTGTTGATCAATAGATTAAAGACAATTATTAAAGATTATGAGAAACTACAAATTGTGAGACTTTTAGGGTTATAAATAAAGCCCCTTTAGGCCTATGTTATTAAAAGTATGGTTTACATCAATTGTCTTGCTGCAGAGTTGCATGCTTGACATTGAATCAAAATGAAATGCTGGATCATATTCCATGTTTTGATTCAACATCAACGGCAATAATCAGCCACCCTTGTTTAGAAGGCAATTGCATCAAGGAATGCCTCGCTATAAGACACACAATAAGCACTTTAAGGTTTACCATATTCCAGCCCGACTAAGGCTTAGTACACCCTTTGCCTCATTTGAGGCTTATGCCTTTGGCGCACGAGACAAATGCCTCAACATAAATAAATATATATAGTTCTTTTTTTCAAATTATATATAAGAGAGTTTAATTTTTTACGTTTAAAGTTGAAATAAACTAGGTATGGAAGGTTGCAATTTGTTTTTGTCTAATCTTAAGCAATGCCTCAAATTAGCTATTTTTATAATATTTTTTATTTTATTTTAGCTTAATACATTTACTTTATTTTTTTTAATTATTTTTAATTTCTTTCAAATTTTAATTTTTTTTATTCAATTTTAGTTTTCTTTTTATTTTTTTCATTATAATTTTAATTGATTTTTCTTTTCCTTTTTGTTTTAGATTTTTTGAATTTTTTTAATTGTTTTTTGATGGTATATGGCTTTATTGTAAATTTTCTTTAATTTTTTTTTTTTATTTAGTGCAAGACTTGTACTTTTATTTGTCTTGAGACTTATCCCTCTGCTTCAAAAGAGAAAAAACCTCAAATTTAAATCGCTATGAGAATTTATTCATTCTCATATCTTCCAAAAAAAATTTAAACTTTGGTAATCTAACTAATGATTACTAAATTTTTGTTTTAAAGAGACTAAATAATTTTTTTGGTTGTAAATCAAAATAGGCTATAGCTTTTTTTCTGAATAAGAATTCAAAAATTATGAGGTGTCAATGTTTTGTTCGTGCGTCTTATCTTGAAATTGCATAAACAAATCCTAGATTCAAAGGCGTCTATCAAATTGGAACCAAAGCTTAAACTTTTTTTAATGTCAGTCAAAAACGAAACTCAATATCAAAGATAGTTAATGGATCACTAAAGATAATGGAATTATGATTGCCTTAAAAAATTGAGTCAAAATAATTTAAAAAAATAAGACCAAATCAGCACTAAAGTAAATCAAATTAAAGATCGACTAGAAACTAACTTTAGAATAAACCAACTATGCCAACAAGAACCAAAAATTGAATATAGCACTAATAATGAACATGCTCAAAGCACTACTGTATGATGGGAAACCATGGTAAAAGAAAAAAAATCAAGATAAACATCATAGCTAGCATGCAAATGAAAATATGACAATCATATATGTCAGCCTTATGGTATAAACTAAGATACAACCGGGAAAATTAAAGTTCATGTGTTCAGCTTCGATGGAAGCTGAGGCTAGATGCTCCAGAGACAATTCAATATTTAACCAACATGATGCATTTAATATAAATCAAATAAAATCATATTGGAATTGACATATAAAATTTTACTACTTACACAAGAATTCACTTCAAATAAAAATTCCAAAAATGTGCAAGTCGAAACCAAATAATAATGGAATGATCAACTAATCCGAAGAAAATTAGTAAGAAATTCAAACCACAAGGCACAAGTAATTGAATTTTTACACAATCATTGAAAACTTGTTTCTAATAAATAGCTCATCTTGAAAATTAATAACAATATATTGAAAAAAATATATTAGGAAAAAAAAAATCATCTTTATCAAAAAAAAAATTCAAAAAAAAATCAAAAAGTATAGTGCTGGTACGAGGAGAAATCCTCCCTAGAAGATGGGTGAAATTTTGTTTAGATCATCTCTAATTTGCTTATTATTTTCTCAAATCATATTT